AGATTAGTGTCTTATCCTTCTCTTCCTTCAGGTGCCCTGCATGGCTATTCTATAGAGACTGTGGGAAATTAGAAGCTGTTTTGTGTGGTAGAGTAGGTATTGATCACAAATCAGTATATATCCCCTGAAGCTTATGGGGAATTCAATCACATGAAAACAGTAAGAGAAATAATAACAATTATTTTCACTACTTCTTACCTCCAAGTCTGAAAGATTATGTATTGTGCATGACAAATGACTAAATCATATACAGACCTAGTGGATAATGCATTTGAAAATCATATTAACTAGTAAATAGTTACTGTGAATTATATCTAAACTCACTCATATGATGAGATAAAGGAATAGTACAAAATAATTTTCATAACATTAATTTTTCTTGAAAGATTAATCTCCTCCCAACTTTCGCACCAATCCTGAGGTTTAAACTCTAGGCCTGGGTGCTGACTTTAAGCTTTTGTGCTCAAAGCTTGTGCTCTACCACTTAAGCAACAACTACACTTCTGGCTTTTTGGTAGTTAAATGGAGGTGAGAGTTTCATAGACTTTTGCCTAACCTGGCTTTGAATTGCAATCCTCAGATCTCAGCCTCCTGAGTGCAGGATTACAGGCATGAACCACCGGCGCCCGGCTTATCATTACTTTTTATTAAAACATTTTTTATGAAGAAGAGGAAGAACGAAAAAATCAGACCTGCATGGATGAATGGATCCATTCTGTCAAGAATGAAATACCCTTCCTATATTACCCAAACATTTAGGAAAATATGGGCCAAAACAGTCATTTCTATCTACTAGGCAAGGAAATTAGAACTCATACTGACTAACCAAGAATACTTACATGGGGGGGTGGGGGAGAAGTAGTTGTGGAGGTGGGAGGGAAGGCATGGTAGGGGAAAAACAAAGGAAAAGGTAACAATGCTTAATAGGAAATGTACTCATTACCTTGCTAATGTAACTGTAACCCCTCTGTACAGTATTAAAAAAAAGAATACTTACATAGATTTATTCATTTTGAACAGTTATTGAGGGGTTGGGAATGTGGCTTAGTGGTAGAGTACTTGCCTAGCATGCATGAAGCAACAGGTTCAATTCTTCAGTACCACATAAACAGAAAAGGCTGGAAGTGGCACTGTGGCTCAAGTGATAGAATACTACACTTGAACAAAAGAAGCTCAGGAACAGTGCCTGGGCCCTTAGTTCAAGCCCCAGGACTGGCAAAAAAAAAAAAGTTATTGAACACCTACCATATGCTTAATATTTAGATCCATTTGAGGTATTGTGGAAAATTCAGAGATGAATGAGATATAGACTTAAAGACAAGAAAAAGGCTGAGTAAAGCTTTTCTATAAAGGGCAGACAGTAAATATTTCAGGCTTTGTAGGTCATATAGTTTCAATTGCAGACACTCAGCTCTGCCATTGTGGCATGAATGCACCAAAAATACATAAATTAATAGGCATGGTTGCATTTAAAAAAATACTTTATTCACAGACAGTGTGGTTGACTAGATGTGGTTCATAGTTTGTTGATTCCTGGTCTAGAACCAATGACAGGATACACTCAAGCAGCTACAACATACTCAGCCTAACTCTTTAGACTTTTGTTATTTCCTGCCTGATCTGTTATAAAAGTTCTCTCTAGTTTTGTGTCACCAACTCCACTCCCCTAAATACTCCACTCGACCCAGCTGCCAGAGGGATCTTATGTCTTAACACTCTGTCAGTGCTATTCTTAAAACTCTTCAATGGCTTAGCACTCCTTATAGAATAAAGACCTACTTCCTAGAGTATAAAAGCTTTTTGTGCTCTATCCTTGCTTTGCTCTCCTAACTCATCCCAAACAATGTCTCTCTCTCCAACATCCCTCCCCTAACCTCCATACTAAAGCAAAACTAACTTACTATAACACATTGTGCTATTTATGCCCTTGTTCCCTCTGCCTACTAAGAGCCACTCATATTCACCCAGAAAACTCCTCAGGAGGAGATGATCTTCTTTTTGTTTTTTTCTTTTTTTTGGGGGGGGGTTGGGGGGCGGTTGTGGGGCCTGAACTCTGAGCCTGAGCGCTGTCCCTCAGCTCTTCAGCTCAAGGCTAGCGCTCTACCACTTGAGCCACTTCCAGCTTTTTTCTTTTTTCTTATGTGGTGCTGAGGAATCGAACCCAGGGCCTCAGGCATGCACGGCAAGCGCTCTACCACTGAGCCACCCTCCCAGCCCGAGGAGGTGATCTTCTTAAGCTGACTACTGATATCTTTTCACTCCTTATGTAGCATACACTTTATAATCGTGCCTATGGAGGGTTAAATTTTGAGCTACACAACAAAAGGCAATTCACTTATTTGCAGTTGTAGCTCTAACTCATTACAAAGTAAACAGCAAACAGTAGAAATCAAACCAACCTATTCTGATTCACAGTCAATTGGAGGAATCACAATTGTATATTGCTCCTTCAAGAAGAAAGACAGTACATCATTCTTAGAAGGAAGAATGAGAAAAAGGTTGAAGAAAGGGTATCGTGAGTCAGGTAAAGAAAAAGGGTAAAGAGCAGAGAAGTTGAAAAAGTAAATTAATGTCTGATAACTGGTGAGTATTTCAGTTTGGCTGAAGTGTATGGAGAAAAACAGGAAAACATGTAGAAAGGTCAGATAGTCAGATCTACATGACCTTAAAGTCCAAGCTAAGAAATATGTACTTTGCTGTGCAGACAATGGGCTGGCATGATGTAGAATGAACTGACACAGAAAGGTTTGTCAAAGAGAAGGTAGGTGGTGACAATGAGAGCTGAAAGATACTGCATCAAGACTGAACTGTCAATACTGGCAAAGACTTTGTGTAAGATATAGAGCAACAGGAATCAGAGATAGTTGTGACATGTTAAGCCTGGAAAATTGGGATAAATAGGGAAACAAGCTGAAAGGAAATTAGAAAAAAGAAAGTGAAGCCGGCGCTGGTGGCTCATGCCTGTAATCCTAGCTACTCAAGAGGCTGAGATCTGAGGATCATGGTTCAAAAGGCAGCTGGGGCAGGAAAGGCTGTGAGACTCTCATCTCCAATAAAGACCAGAAGTGGCGCTGTGGCTCAAGTGGTAGAGTGCTAGCCTTGAGCTGAAGAGCTGAGGGACAGCACGTAGGCTCAGAGTTTAAGCCCCATGACTGACAAAAAAAAAGTGAATTTGGTTTTAGAATATTCAATTTGAAACTAAGAAAACATCCCGATGGAGCATTTAGTGTGAATCTGAAAAGAGGGAGAAAGATACTTTCAGGAGATGAGACAGAAATCTGGGAGTCATCTACCTTCAGGTAATAACTAAAACCCAAAGAAGAGAAATAACGTTCCCATATATCCTTTTACCCAAACATCTGTAACATGATTGCACTAATTTGCAAACATGTCAATTTCCTAGTTCTGAGGCCCTTGAAGGAAGAGGTCAAGATTTATTATAGCCTTTGTATTGTCCAGCCAAATATCTAAAAAATAGCAAGTGGTATATGAAGCTGCCCTGTAATTCTAGTAATATAATAGCTCACTTCCTATGACTTATTGCAACTTAATGCAAAAATTGAGAAACCTTTTCAATGTCTTTACTTCACATGTGTCACATGGTGGTAGCCTAAGGCAGATGAGACCTAAGGTAGCTGAATTGGTGGCCACAGTCTGGCAGATGTTACCACTGTCCCTCTAGCTACTCTGAAGATTGGGCAGTGGGTGGATCAACTTCCATCCCTCTCTGCTTCCATCTTTCCCTCCCTCCTTCTACACTCTTCCAACCCCCCCACCCCCACCTTTTTTTTTTAAAGTAGTAATAGGATTTAAACTCTGGGCTTCACATTTGCTATGCAGGCACTCTATCCAGAAACATATCTCCAGCTCTTTTTGCTGTAGTGTTTTGTTTTTGTTTTGTTTTTTATTGTGAGAATACCATACAGAGGAGTTAAAATTAAATGGGCAAGATAACGAGTACATTTCTTATCAAGCATTGTTGCCTCCTTGTTGTTTCCCCTTCCCATCCCTTCCCATACTCCTCCCCTTCCCGCACCTGATCATCCCCCTCACCCCCCACCAAAGTTGTTAAGTTCGTTTTTTGACATAATGACTTGCTGGGGTTTTTTTGTTTTGTCAGTTTTGGGGCTTGAACTCTGAGCCTGGGCACTGTCCCTCAGCTCTTCAGCTCAAGGTGAGCGCTCTACCACTTGAGCCACAGCACCACTTCCCGTTTTCTGGTCCTCAGATCTCAGCCTCCTGAGTAACTAGGATTACAGCTGTGAACCACCAGCGGCTGGCTGTAGTCATTTTTGAGATAAGGTCTATCTAGTTCTTTGTCTGGGCCAGCCTGAACTACAGTGCTCCTGTCATAGCTGGCATGTCACCATGTCCAATTTTTTTCTGCTGGAAATGTTGCTAACTTTTTTGCTCAAGCTATATGGAACCATAATCCTCCCAAGCTTAGCCTATAGTATGGCTGGGATGACAGGTGCATACCAATGTGCCAACCTATTGGTTGAGATGAAGGTCTTACAAACTTTTTGCCTCCATTGGTCTAGAATCATAATCTTCCTAATCTTTTTTTTTGGTTGGTTGTGGGGGTTGAACTCTGGGCTTGGGCGCTGTCCTTGCGCTCTTCAGCTCAAGGTGAGCACTCTACTGCTTGAGCTACAGCACCATGTCCAGTTTTCCAGTGGTTTATTGGAGATAAGAGTCTCATGGACTTTCCTGCCCGGGCTGGCTTTGAACCGCGATCCTCAGATCTCAGTCTCCTGAGTAGCTAGGATTACAGGCATGAGCCACTGTAGCCCGGCTCCTTCCTAATCTTTACTTCCTGAGAAGCTAGGATTACAACTGTAAGCCACCAGTGCCCAACAGCAATTAATTCTTATTCCATCTCTCTTCCCAAACAAAAGTCAATATTACCCTAGTATTGGCATACTTGAAGGCAAAAGGATGCATGACAATATGGTATTTAGAGAGCTATAAACACCAATGTATTAATCAATTTTCCTGACCTTTATGTGTCTATTCATAGCAGTAGACTGCGCTGCTCGAACAAGACCTTCCAGTTCAGCCCCACTGAAATTCTTGGTTTCCACTGCCAGTTCTTTAATGTCCACATCTGCTGAAAGTAACTGGTGCCCTCTCATCCTTGCTGTGTGGATGTGAAGGATCTGTAGTCGACCTTTCTCATCTGGTAAGCCTGATTAAATTAAAAATAAAATAGACAGTTTGCTAGCCTATGAGCCCATCAGAGGAAATTATTATAAATCTACTGCTTTCCTTCTAGATAAGCATGTAAACTTCTGCTAGTCAACATTAAATTATATGACACTATTCTGTTAATGAACTCTGAATGCCATATAGATAGTACTCTGTCTCTCTCTTTCACACGTACACGTGTACACACACACACACACACACACACACACACACACACACACACACACACACACACACACACACACACACACACACCAGCAACAGATCTGCTTACCTATCTCCATTTTAACTTCCAGTCTTCCAGGTCGAAGGAGAGCCTCATCTATCAGATCTGGCCTGTTGGTCATTCCTGAAGGTAGATGTCAATACAGCAAACAAATGACAACAGTTCAAAAAGAAAAAAAGTGTCCCTTCAGTATATGTAAAAATAGTCACTTATGGGAAGTGGCACGATGGCTCAAAGTGGTAGAGCACTAGGAACTTAGAGACAGTTCCCAGGCTCTAAGTTCAAGCCCCACGACCCACAAAAATTAATAAATTAATTTAAAAAATAGTCATTTGCTTAACAGGCTAATAGAACATTTCATAAGTGTGAAATAGAACCAAATTATTATGAAATAGAACAGGTATTTGTTTGCAATCTGAGCTAAATGAAAATATCAAGAGATTTTGTAATGAAATTTTCCAATATTTAAAATTCAGTTAGTATAAGTAACCTATGAAAAGGGGAAGTGGGCAAAGTAAACTTGATCTCTTTGATTCTAAAGTCCCTTCCTTGCTTTGTAGGACAGTGCTTTCAACTTTCAAAAAATAGTAGCAACTCCTCCTTTTCCCACTGCCCAAAATCATCATAAGAAGAAACTTACTACATAAAAAGTTAGAACAAGAGCCTATAATGACAATGCAGGATCTGAAGCTCACTCCACTGAGCTACAGCTACATCCCAGCCCAAGAATACAACTTTTTTTTTTTGGGTCCGGTCGTGGGGCCTGAACTCTGGGCTTAGGAGTTGTCCCTCAGCTCTTCAGCTCAAGGCTAGTGCTCTACCGCCTGAGCTACAGTGCCACTTCCAGCTTTTTTCTTTTTTCTTATGTGGTGCTGAGGAATTGAACCCAGGTCCTCACGCATGCAAGGCAAGCGCTCTACCACTGAGCCACCTTCCCAGCCCCTACAACTCTTTTTTTTTTAATTGTGAAAATACCATATAGAGGGGTTACAATTACATGGGCAAGATAATGAGTACATTTCTTATCAAGCATTGTAGCCTCCTCCTTTGTTTCCCCTTCCCATTCCTTCCCATCTCCCAGAATACAACTTTTTTAAACAAAAGAAAACACACCAATGACAAGGATGTTGTTCAGCTGCTCAACACCATCAATTTTGGACAGCAACTGGTTGACAACAGTGTCATGAACTCCTGTGCTACCAGCCATGCTCCCTCTCTGCTTGCAGATGGCATCAATTTCATCAAAGATGATGATGTGCAAACCACTGTTAGCACCAAGCTATTAAGGGAAGAAATTATGTTAAAGGTCATAATTTGATTGTATCATGAAACAAACTTACAAAAAAAGCAAAAATAAAGCTTTCAACAGGTTAACTTCATTCCATTTTGACTAATAAATATAGCAAGTATAACAATCACAATTGTTGCTTTTTTAAAGAACTGTACTCTCAGAATTCTGCAAACTAAAATTACATTCCAGGACCTCATACTGGATAGCCATAAAACAGAAATGTGTTATATGCTGAGTAACTATGTAAGTAGAAAGCAATTAATCTAAAATTAGCTGTGAATTTATATGTCTATCTCACTAATTGAAACAATTCATATTTATCAGATCAGCAAGGGGCAACTTCCTCTCTTTCTTTGACTTCTGGTGGAAAGATAATCCCAGAAACAGTAGATTTGATGTTTCCTTTGTCATTTTAAATAGTTAAAAGTTACCTCCACTCAGAAGGTGATTAGGAATAGGAAAATTGGGTAAAGAAATGGAATATGATTAATATCCACTAATATTTACTTATTTGATATAGAAACTGATGAGTTTTCCATAAAGTAAAATGAGAACAGAGACAATCCTTAGAAAAAGACCTTATTTTGCTGGTACTGGGGCTTGAACCTAGACCTGAGCACTGTCTATTAGTTTTTTCACTCAAGGCTAGCATTCTATCACTTAAGCCACAGCACCACTTTTGCTTCTTATAGTTAATTGGAGATAAGTATCTCAAAGCCTGCCCCAGCTGGCTTTGAACAGTGATTCCCATATCTCAGCCTCCTGAGTAACTAGGATTACAGATGTGAGCCACTAGCACCCTGCTTCTTCCACAAATATTTTAAAAATTAAATTCAACCCTGAAAAAAATATAAATTTCATTTCTCAAATTTCTCAATATCATTATTTACTCAATGGACATCTAATGATACATGATAGCTTATTCCTTAAAAAAAAATCCCACACCAAAAACCATTCATTACTTGTAATGAAAAATTGGAACCACAAGCTTAGCTTTGCCAAAGCTATAATTAATTTTTTGCCATCTTCAACGCAAAATCAGAATATTCTTGTTTGTGACTGAAAAAATGGTGATGTTGCTAGAATCACAACTCCCTTCTCAGTCCGACATCAAAAATAGCCTATGTGGATAGAGATTCCAAAGACAATAAGAACACTGTGTTTAATTAAATGATCACAGGTCAATCTGTCCTAAACATAATTCAGTACAGTTCTGACCTTTTCACGGCCTTACTAATCTTGTGAACTGTCATCAGTTCCCCTCCCAACCCAGTCAGGATAATAACATTAAATTTTACAGGTGCACTAGTTAAATAAAGGCAAACTCTTACTGCAATAAATTAGGAACAAGTAAGGAAGGATGTTAAGATTAATGTTCACAGATTAATATAGGTGAGTCATCAATAAACCATTTACTAAAGGATTTACATTTCCACAAGACAATCCTCTTGAATTCATTGGCTTCTAGCTTTAAAAAAAAAAAAAATCTGCAGTCTTTCCCCATAGAAACAGAGCTGATGCTATTGAGCCCCTGGCAACAGCCTTCAAAAGTGGCTGTTCTATATTTAACTAGTTTGACCTATATGGAAGTGCTCATCTCTGTCAGCCTAAACTGTCCAGAATCACAGAAGAGATGTGCTTCTTTATTATATAACACACATTTACTCTGCATGGGGTCGTTAGCTGGGTATACCAAGCCATTTCTGGATATTAAGACCAAGAGAAGCATAACTGAAAAAGATTGTCTATGATTAATTTCTATCTAGAAATTCTTTGCCAACTCAGTTTTATCATTAGTAGTGTCATATATAAACTGCTTGCACGTTTAAAAACAGTATCAAATTTTATTGCTCATACTTGTATATCTGGATTTTCTGATAAGAGCATTTTTGTATGTTTATTCTGAATTCAAATATTGTTTTCTATAACTTAACTACATAGAGTTTTTGCTCATCTTTTCCTATTATTAATCTTGTTGACTTGTACAATATATTTTTGCATTATAGATTTTAATCTTCAATATAAAATTCCAAAATTTTCAAAAAAATAAAAATAAAAACAGTATCAATGTTATCCCTGAAGCCATGTAAAAACTACCTAATGGAACACTTTATTAAATAATCATCCAGGTTACTAGAGTTAATTTTAAGTTTCTTTTTGAGCAGCCCAAACTATTTACTTCTAAATATTAATTATCTTACTATTTTTAATTTATTAATTTCCTAGAGCTTAAACTCAGTGTGCTGTCTCTGAATTTTTTTGTTTTTTTTTTTCTTAAGGCTAGCTCTTCCACTTGAGTCATAGCTCTATTTCCAGCCTTTTGATGGTTAATTGGAGATAAAGAGTCTTACAGATTTTCCTCCCTATGCTGGCTCTGAACCTTGATCCTCAGATCTCAGCCTCCTGAGAAGCTAGAATTACAGATATGAGCCACTGGTACTCGGCAGTATCTCATGATTTTAAAGAAAATAAATTGTTAAAGAGCTGAGGGACAGTGCCCAGGACCAGAGTTCAAGCCTCACGACTGACTAAAAAAAAAAAGAATACCAGGCACTGGTGGCTCAGAATCTTAGCTACTCAGGAGGCTGAGATCTGATGATCACCTTTCAAAACCAGACTGGGCAGGAAAGTCCGAGAGACTCTTATCTCTAATAAACCAATCAGAAAACTGGAAGTGGCACTGTGGCTCAAGTGGTAAAGTGCTAGCCTTGAGCTGAAGAGCTGAGGGACAGCACCTAGGCCCAGAGTTCAAGTCCCAAGGCTGATTTAAAAAAAAGAGAGAGAAAAGAAATCTTGAAGTCCTGGGTTCCATTCCTCAGTAACACATAAAGAGAAAAAAGCAGGAAGTGGCTCAAGTGGTAGAGTGCCAGCCTTGAGCAAAAGAAGCTCAGGGACAGTGCCCAGGCCCTGAGGTCACGCCCCAGGACTGGCAAAGAAAAAAAAAAGCAATTAATATAAAGCTGGAGACAATAAAATTAACTTAGAAAAACAATGAAACACTGAAATGAATATCATTATGCCACCATTCTTAGCTAGAATGCAGAAAAAAAATCAATGAAGAACTATATTGACTTTCTAAATATAGAATATCACAAATATTAAAAAGAACAATAGATTTTATTGACAAATATAAGTACAACACAGAAACATTTGTTTTCAATCAAGTAATTTTCTTTCAGCCCCTTAAAATTAGCGTTCAATGGTCTTATTCCCATGATTTCTGTTGAGAAGACAGTTGCTAACCTTAAGACTAGGATCTGCTCAAATTACGGAGGGCAATCTTCTTTATTCAGCTTACCACTTCCAAAGTTAACTTTTATCCAGAAGCATCTCATACACACACCCAGAATGTGTGACTAAATTTTGGAACAAATGTGTATGTGCCCTGTGGCCCAGGCAAGTTGACAAAAATACTAACAAAAAACTAACCATCATAATTACTCTGGTCTAATTTTTTATTTTTTTTTTCTTTTGCCTGTATTGGGATTTGAATTCAAGGCCTCAGGATGACTTAGCTTGCTTGCTAGATTGGCACTTGAGCCTATTTTATTCTTTTCTAAGACCAAAATCAAGATTTATTATTTTAGTTCAAACAATTCCATTCACAGTAAAATGGAGCTGCTTCAGTGTAAGGTAGCTTTCTGCACATGAAATATCATACAAGTGATAAAAAAAATTACTAAGTTATTCTTATATTCTTATTACCCTCCTTTGCTCCTCTTCAGCATCAGCAAAAAGTTTGCGAATGTTAGCCTCTGATTCTCCCACATATTTGTTAAGGATTTCTGGCCCATTGACTACTTTGGGCTCTCTTGCATTTAACATCTTGCCAATCTGCCGAGCCAAGAGAGTTTTACCACAACCTGGGGGTCCATACAACAGGATGCCTTTAACATGTTTACAACCTGAAAGGGAAAAGAAAACATATTTATAACTAGTTAAAATACAAGGAAGATATCTATAGGAAAATTTTCTTTCTTCTTCATATACACTTTAGGAAAAGCACAGTGATGCTACTTTCATACATTAATATCCATGTGCTTATACACAGAGAAGAATATATCATCCTGTCTCATTTTAAAAAAAAAAATGGAGAGAAAATCCCAAAACAATTCCTAATGTCAAAGAAAAAAAGTTACTAGTGCCAGGTGCCAGTGGTTCACACCTATAATCCTAGCTACTCAGGAGGGTGAGATCTGGGGACTGTGGTTCAAAGCCAGTCAGAGCAGAAAAGTCCCCATGAGACTCTTATCTCCAATTAATCATCAGAAAATGTGAAGTGGCACTGTGGCTCAAAGTGGTAGAGCACTAGCCTTGAGCAAAAGAGCTGAGAGACAGTACCCTGGCCCTGAGTTCAAGCCCCAGACAGACAAAAACAAAAACAGAGTTGCTAGGTAGAAGAGTATATTTTCACTATCAATTAAAAGAAATATTCTGTGTGTGTGTGTGTGTGTGTACCAGTCCTGCGGCTTGAACTCAGGATATTCTGTGTGTGTGTGTGTGTGTGTGTGTGTGTGTGTGTGTGTACCAGTCTTGCGGCTTGAACTCAGGATATTCTGTGTGTGTGTGTGTGTGTGTGTGTGTGTGTGTGTGTGTGTGTGTGTGTGTGTGTGTGTACCAGTCCTGCGGCTTGAACTCAGGATATTCTGTGTGTGTGTGTGTGTGTGTGTGTGTGTGTGTGTGTGTGTGTGTGTGTGTGTGTGTGTACCAGTCCTGCGGCTTGAACTCAGGATCCACGTGATATCATTTAGCTCTTTTGTTCAAGGCTGGCACTCTACCACTTGAGCCACAAGTTCACATTCAGCTTTTTGGTGGTTAGAGATAAGAGACCATGGATTTTCTTGCTCAGGCTAGCTTTGAACTGTGATCCTCAGATCACAGCAAGGATTATAGGTGTGAGCCACAGGCACTTGGTTTGAAAGAAATACTTTTAACTCCAAAAATGTCTCTTTGCTCTTAAATATCTCTTAAATATTACTTATTTTCAGTATCCTTAAGGTCAGAGGAAATCTGTTTTGAAGCAAATCTAATAGAAATAAATTTATTATAATATAGTAGACTATAGAAATTATATTTTTCTTCATCATAGGGAACAGGTCTAAATACAAGCACTTGAAAAACAGGCAAACCATGCCTGTTTGAGCTGGATGAGTACAGAGGAATTCATAGGGTCCCAATGCATCGATGGCAGCTTTGTGGACAAAGCTGAATGCCTTATCTACTTCAAAGGACTAATGGCAAGTGAGATACGCATTTACTTCTTTAGAGCAATACAGATGAAAACAAAGTTTCAGAAGCAGTATTTAATTATGTTCCAGACAAGCAATGCTAAATGCCTTAAAAGTGCCACTAATAATCCAATATAGTAAGACTGGACTGAGACTCCCCAGGGCTTTTCTAGCCAATGCTACATGAGAATCTATACCATTCACTAAGATGAAGATATGTGGCTTCTGTTTGCTCCTCTGGAGACCTTCATCTTCCTAGCAGCTTCAATTAAGATGCATGGTTCCTTTTTGATGAGTTTCTTCTTTATACCATACTGAAAAAAGTACTCTTAGAAGTAATGGAGTATTAGATTTCAGTGTAACACTCATACTATGGATGCAAAAGGTCTCTGGAAATGCAATATATACGGTGTGTCCCCATAAAAAATAGTTTGCTATTATTTGGAATGAAAGCCTTAAAAACTGCATCTCAGTAAGACACCAGTGGCTCGTGCCTGTAATCCTACTCAGGAGGCTTGAGATCTGAGGATCATGGTTCAAGCCAGCTCAGACAGAAGAGTCCACAACATTCTTATGTCCAATTAACTAGCAGAAAGCTGCAAATGGAGCTGCAGCTCAAATGGTAGAGTGCCACCCTTGAGCAAAAAAGCTAAATGGCAGTGCCTATGCCCTGAGGTCTAGCCCTAGAACTAGCACCAAACAACTAAATGAACAAATGAATGAATAAAGGAGAAAGGGTGAGCAAATGCAGTTGTTATATTAAATACATTATGTTAAATATATCATATATGTAATGTCCATTACATAAAAACTGAGCCATATAACTTGAGAATAGGAATGAGATGAGGGAAATGGGGAGATAGATGGAAGGGCTAACATTGGTCAAAATACATCATATTTACAACCTGACTTTTTGAACTTTAACTTCTTTGTACAACTACTTAATACAAAGAGAAAAATGTTGAGTGCTTGTGGCTCACGTCTGTAATCATAGCTACTCAGGAGGCTGAAATCTGAGGATTGTGGTTCAAAGCCAGTTCAGACAGAGAAGTCTGATTCTTATCTCCAAAGCCAGAAGTGGAGGCATAGCTCAAGTGGTCAGCACCAGCCACGAGTTAAATAAACAAACCCTAGCATGTAAAATGTGCAAAGTTAAGGGCTGAATAATCAAACTGTTTGTTTCTTTTTTTCTAAAACTCAAAAGAATATGAGAGGGGAACTTTAGCAAAATTAGTTGGAATTCTTAATTTATAGGTGAAGGATTGAGTCCTAGATAAGCACCTGCGCACATACCTGGTGCTTTGCTTGACCCTGGGGAATAAGGCAGGATTCAATTCTTCAATGGGACAGTGCTTTCTTCCATTGCTGAACTAATTTTCACACCTAAAAAATCATCTGCAATGACTGAGACAGTGAATTTAGCAAAACAAACTGTATAGTATAAGTACTAGAACCTAAACTTTGTTAACTCTTGTTTTTCTTTTTCTTTTTTTTCCTTTGTCAGTTGTGGGGCTTGAACTGCCTGGGTGCTGTTCCTTGGCAATTCAGCTCATGGTGAGTGCTCTACCTCTTGAGCCACAGCGCCACTTGTGGTTTTCTGGTGGCTTTTTGGAAAGAAGAGCCTCACAGACTTTCCTGTCCAGGCTGGCTTTGAACTGCAATCCTCAGATCTCAGCCTCCTGAGTAGCTAGGATTACAGGTGTGAGCCACTGGCGCCCAGTTGTAACTCTGGTTTTATAAATGGAAAAACTTAAGTTTAATGTGGTGTGAAAAAAAATCACAAAATATTGCCAAAATAGATAAAAATGCATATTCTAGAACGTCTCACATGTCTCTTGAGATGACAGACTATATTTAATCTCACTCCAATAGGGAAGTCTTAGAAGCTTCATTCTAAATTAGTAGTCTAATTCTTCCAGGATCTCAAGTAAGTACATCAAAAATACACATTGACATGTAAAGATTTTTGAAATCCACTTCCACAAAGAAATCAGTTCCTTGAATAAGCAATAGAAATAGGACCTCATTATTACTATTATTATAGTCCTTTCTGACTTATTAAATAAGCACTGGTTTCTAATTTTAAATGAGTCATAAAAACTAATTCCATTCAACAAAAGTGTATTAAGCTCCTGTTTGGACTAGGTACTAAAGTAGATGGTAAGGATACAAACATGAAAAAGACAGTCCTTACCTACAGGGAAATCCTGGCTTAGGAAAGACAGAAATAAAAATGTTATCTGTAATATAATATGACATATTAGAGATATGTATGAAATGTTTTTGGAATTTAGCCAAGACAGACTGATTCTGCCCAGATGATGGCAGAAAATTAGAGATGGACATGGGGGAAGAGATTAGACTGACTGGCCCTGGATGAATGTAAGGTTTAGGCTTGAGCAATGAAGAAATGGCACCACAAACAGAGAAACTACCATGGTCAAAGGCAAACAGTATGGACATAGATGCCTGTTCTCCTAGTAGTCATGAGTGACGGCTATGACAGGTTCCTAACTGTGGCAGGCTTTGACACCATGCTCACAAGTATTTCTTTTTCTGTCCAAGACTGGGACTCAAACTTGGTACCTGATACTTTCACTCTACCAACTGAGCCATGCCTCCAACCCCTGCAAGTTTTTAGCTTGTTTTATAGGCAGTAAGGTATGTATATAATGTGTTAACACTTCTGGTAAAGTGGAGGAAAGATTGACTAACAAAGATGGCAGAGGATAGAAGGCTAGAGACTGTTCTTAATCTTTTCTGAAGACACTGACTCACTAGCTGACTCTGGATTTTTGCCAATTGAGCTTTCATGACCCTCCAAGTCCTCTGGGAGTATCAGAACAAATGAGTTCAGAGGCATCCAGAGGACATCCTCCTCCACCACATGCCAGGCTTGCTCCTAAGGTCCTCTAGGATATTAAGCTTGGCTCTGGGGAGACTCTGATCTCTGGCTATTGGACTGTCTAACTGCTGCTCCTTTTTTCCCCTTAATGTCTTATAGGCCTCCTATGCGGGAGCATCAGTTCTAGGTTAGTGAATTAAATAGCAAAGGGAAGGCACAAAAGAAACTTATGGAATTTATTTAAATATATTCTCTGTGCTCTCTCTTACTCTCACTCTTTCACTTTCTTTTGCTCCTAATGGGGATTGAAATCAGGGCCCCGTGCTTGTTAGGCAAGTGTCCTATAACTTAAGCCACTTTGCTTTAGTTATCTTCTTGTGAGGTCTTGCACTTTTGCTCAGGCTAATTTCAGAAAACAATCTTCCTATCTTTACCTTCCATTAGCTGGGATTTTGGCTGTGAACATTGCTATTTCTCATTTTCTTTCACATGGAATAGTCTAATGAACCTCCCCAGGGAGGTGTACAAATGCAAAAATTTGTACACAATGCTGAGGAGATATTGTGTGTGTGTGTGTGTGTGTGCGCGCGCGTGCGTGTGCATGCGCGGGCCAATTCTGGACTTAAAGTTCTGGGCCTAGGAATGGTCTCTGAGCTTCTGTACTCAAGGCTATCTTCTACCACTTGAGCCATAGCTCCACTTCCCACTTTTTGGTGGTTAATTGAAGACTTTCATAGACTTTCTTGCCCAGGCTGGTTTTGAACCACAATCCTCAGATCCCTGCCTCCTGCATAGCTAGGATTATAGACGTGAGCCACCAATGCCCAGCCTG